CGCTTCTCGACCGTGTGAGTGCCGAGCCCGGCCTCACCAATAGCGGATGCTGCAACGAGCTTAATGCAGGGTACGCCGCCGACGGCTACGCCCGCGTGAAAGGCGTCGGTGCATGCGCCGTCACCTTCACCGTTGGCGGCCTCAGCATTCTCAACGCCCTCGCCGGAGCCTATAGCGAGAATCTCCCCGTCATCTGCATCGTGGGCGGTCCGAACACAAATGACTATGGTACTAACCGAATTCTTCATCACACCATCGGACTCCCTGATTTCTCCCAGGAGCTTCGGTGTTTTCAGACCGTAACCTGCTTTCAGGTATTGTTTTTTTTTTTCTGATTTTTGTATGTATTTCTTTTTTACTTTTCGTGTGTTTAATCGGAGAAAATGGCTAAATATTGTAGGCGGTGGTGAATAATTTGGAGGACGCGCACGATCTGATCGACACCGCCGTCTCGACTGCTCTCAAGGAAAGCAAGCCAGTTTATATTAGCATCGCGTGCAATCTTCCAGCCATTCCCCATCCAACCTTCTGCCGCGAGCCAGTCCCTTTTTTCCTTACTCCTAGGTTTGGAATTCTTTCATCTCCATTTGGGTTTGTTAGGCTTCTCTTTGAAGATTTTCTAATGCAATACCCAAATAAATTAGTTATTTATGGAGTTATGCTTCTTTTTTCTAATTTTATTTGTTTTTTCAATCTAAATCATAAGATTTGGTATTTGTATTTTTAATATTTTATTATCATGAACATATGCATGATAATATTATAATCAAAGTTTTATGAGTTGATCTGTTGCGGACTTCAATTTTAATAAGACAAAGCCGTTGCATTGTGGATCTTTTATCATGCTGCGGCCTTCGTTTGTCGTGGTGCTACAAATTCGTTAAGCTTTTGGACTAATAGCTGTGAAGGCTTTGCTTCGAGTCGGATCCAGAAGTATATTATTCATATCATTTAGAAATTTCTAGGATAAATAAACTGGAAGAAAAGTTGGAGCACATATCTTAAATTAATTTTTATTCAGGTGGCCTTAAAATATTGATATGTTATATTTTTGTTATATTTGAATTTCACGAATTCTCTTCATTTTGATTTATAAATAATGTAAGAATAAGCATTTGTTATAAAGCTAGTTATAAAATAATAAATTATTATAATATTTATATATAATCATTGGAATAACTATCATAGAATGTGAAATTGTCACGCCTACTATTTATATCAATTTTGCTTCCAATAGAAATTTATTTAAATATAAATTTGCTTTGAAATTTTAGATAAATTAGTAAAACATTAAGACTTGTCATATCTTTTATATTATTTTTACATTATATTTAAATATATTTGTTGAATACTTTTGGGATGTAGGGTTCTATATTGTTCGTGAGTACATACAACTCGAGAAAGATCTTGTTTTGTATTTCTTAAGCTTGAACCTCCGGTAAATAGAAAAAAATGGCTAGTGGGAGGTTTTCCGGAGGGAGGCTTTTCCGATCACAATGTTCCTTCTAGATATGCGAGTTAGGGGATGCTTTGAAAAAAAGGATAGAGTTGTGTGTTTGCAAATAATAATGACCATTCCTTATAGTTTTCCCTCCATAGGTTGGCTAGATTGCTTCAATTGGAAAGATAAATCTAGTGCTTTAGGCTTCGACAAGTGAGTTCGGCTTAGCCACTTTCGATTCAGGCATTTTGGCAACTAGGCTCAGTTTAGCCACTTCGACATGCGGGCTCTATTCGCAAAAAACAGTCATGTCAACATTCGTGCAAGCTCCATATAAAAAAAATTTGTTTGTGGATATAGTTGTTTTGTTGGGCTTCTCATGACCTCGCCTGGTGATATACGAGTCAAGAACTCAATAGGACTCAAGAATGAACCCTTTTTTACCTTCGGAGGTGCCATTTTTTCCTGCTAGAAGTTAGATTGTTCACATTCACAAATGAACTAGAATTAATTTTCTCCTTGGGACAATTTGTGTTTCACCAACAAGGAGCAGTCTCTGAGTTGCTTCGGTGGGAAAGATCCACTTTTTCCTCGAGAATCTTGTCTCTCCTATAAGAGATGGTCATTTCATTTCCTCGAGTCATTTTGTTGAGATCCATTAGTATTAGCGAAAAGCTTCCATTTGTCAGTTCAACGGTAAAATGATACTTAATCGTGACTTGTATTGTGATGTCTATTGTCACATCGTTTGAATTGCACAAATTAAAGTATACAATAAGTTGGGAGCCATAAACAACATCAATTTCAGTAGTTAATAAATTTTCCATAAGTATACTCCCTTCTAATTTTAAGGTGTAGTAAGTTCTTTATTCTTTAAGAATCATACACTCTTGGTTAATAGGTTTGAAGTGTTCCTTCAATATTTCAACTTTCTCAATGTGCAAGATTCCTATTGCTGAGATGAAGATTTGGAGATCACCTATTGATGATAGTTGCATTTTATAATAATTTAATTTGATGCGAAAGTTTTTTTTTTTTTTTTAATTTACTTCATTTGGAATGCTTATGCACAGACTGAGCAATCGAATGGGCCTGGAGTGCGCGGTGGAGGCGACCGCAGACTTCTTAAACAAGGCGGTGAAACCAGTGCTGGTGGGCGGCCCAAAACTGCGGGTGGCTAAGGCCGGAAAAGCCTTCGTCGAACTCGCCGAAAAATGTGGCTATCCCGTCGCCGTGATGCCTTCTGCCAAGGGTCTTGTTCCCGAGCACCTCCCCAGGTTCATCGGCACCTACTGGGGCGCCGTGAGCACCACCTTCTGCGCCGAAATTGTCGAGTCCGCCGACGCCTATCTCTTCGTCGGACCAATCTTCAACGACTACAGCTCCGTCGGCTACTCACTCCTCCTCAAGAAGGAGAAGGCCATAATCGTCCAGCCAGACCGTGTTGTGGTCGCCAATGGCCCCACTTTCGGCTGCATCCTCATGAAGGATTTCCTTCTGGCGCTATCCAAGAGGCTGACGCGAAACACAACCGCTTACGAGAATTACAGCCGCATCTTTGTGCCGAATGGGCATCTTCTGGAATGCCATCCCAGGGAACCTCTGCGTGTAAATGTGCTGTTCAATCACATACAGAAGCTGCTTTCGGGAAACACTGCGGTAATCGCGGAGACAGGGGACTCCTGGTTCAACTGCCAGAAGCTCAAGTTGCCGGAAGGTTGCGGCTATGAGTTTCAAATGCAGTACGGTTCCATTGGCTGGTCCGTTGGAGCAACGCTTGGCTACGCTCAGGCTGCCAAGGACAAGCGTGTCATCGCCTTCATTGGTGATGGGAGCTTTCAGGTAACTGTGATATTTGAATTAAACAAGCAACAGAGCATCAGTTAAAACTGATTGTTTTTATTGGTTCAGGTGACAGCGCAGGACGTGTCAACGATGATTAGGTGCGGGCAGAACAGCATCATCTTCCTCATCAACAATGGAGGCTACACCATAGAGGTAGAAATCCACGATGGCCCTTACAATGTGATAAAAAATTGGAACTATACTGCATTGGTGGATGCTATCCATAACGGGGAGGGGAAATGCTGGACTACAAAGGTGTTCTGCGAGGAGAAGCTTGTTGAGGCGATTGAAACTGCTACCAAAGAAAAGGAGGACTGCTTATGCTTTATTGAGGTTATCGTGCATAAGGATGACACCAGTAAGGAGCTTTTGGAGTGGGGTTCAAGGGTTTCCGCAGCAAACGGCAGGCCGCCAAATCCACAGTAAATGCAGACTTGTTTGGGGTGTAGTCTTATGTGATTCCTATATTTTATATTATATTAGTCATTTAAATTCATTTTTATTGATATTATTAAATATCAATATGGAATAACTGTCAATCAATTGCTTAAATTTTTAGGAGTGATTTTCATCTAAGTATCTCCCTAAGTTGAGGAACCTTTAGTTTTTTAAATTTGGCTAGTCTCTGTTTTCTTTTCATCTCTTTTATTGTAAGTTCATCTATTGCTGTAATAGATGTGCTGGACATGGGAGTTCTGTTTTCTGAAACATATGTTTTGATTACAGAGTGTTTCATTTATATACCATTTTGGAAAATTTACATGCATTCCACATAATTTTATTATATATATACATATCTGATTCTTAGAGTTTTATATTTACATGTATGACAAATTGGTGTCCACATTCAGTGTGCTTTAAACTCACCTTCTAATAAAAAATAATGCAAGAAACTTGTATGAAAAGTTGTATTTTACTTTTAAAGATTTAGTAATAGTGGTAATTGATGTAATGTTAAAGATTTGAGTGTTAAATAAGTAAATATGAAGGTTTAGGTGTTGGATATGTAAATACTAAAAATTGTGTGTATGTATGTAAATGCCTCAAACTAATCAGGAAGATGAGAGAGCCATGCTTAATTATGAGAATTTTCACAGGGTTGTGCTTTTAGTAAGGTTGAAATAGTACGTCCGGTGGATATAGGGCTCCACCAGACTTGAGGTCCTTATTAATGAGAGGCTTGAGGAGAAAATTATTGTCAATTAAATAATCTTTTATGGCCAATCAAAGCCTGTAGATTAAAGAAAGAGGCTAAGAAGTGTGAGAAACTGGTCCAAGGCCTCACCTAATTTAGTGAAGCAGTAAATAAAATGAAAGAAAATAAGAGCAGGAAGAAAAAACAAACATGGATAAGCTAATGTTAGCGTTCATATTTTTCCACAGTGTGTCTATATATACATAATTGTTGAATTCCAATCTGCCATGTGATTCACAACGAAATATTACATACCAATGAAAAAAAAATCCTGAAAAACTACTTGTTTATCACGACCACACGTAGATACGTTAACCTACCTAATATTTTCTTATAAATCACAACCAAAAACTAAAGCATAATACAGGAGAGAGAGAGAGAGAGGCCCTCAACAATGAATAAAAGAATTAATAAGAGAATTATATAAATTTTTATTGATGAAATGACCCTTTATTAGGAAAATGTACATTTTGCCCCTACTTGGGCAGGAAAAAATATTACATCAAGACTCCGCACGCGGAGCTACGTGCGGAGTCCAATGAAATTACGTTTGGTAACAAAAATATTTCTTTCGTGTTATTCATGTGTTATTGTGTGTTATTCAAGTATTATTGATGTGTTATTGAGTTATTATAACACCAGAAATATTTCCGAACACAATAACACCTAAATAACATACAATAACATCTGAATAACACACATTAACACCTGAATAACATGACGGGAATATTCCATTGTGTTACGGGCCGAACACCTCAACGACGTAATTTCATTGGGCTCCGCACGTAGCTCTAGTTGCGGAGTCTTGATGTAATATTTTTTTCTTGAGTAGTTAGTGTACAACTTTTTTTGCTCCTAAATTCGACCGAATGGGCTCGGTAGGACTTCGTCGGGCTTTGTGGGGAGGCTGGGTTTGGTAGGCCTTTGTCGGTCGGACGTAGTGCAAAAGTCTTAGCAGATGAGTAGTTGAGGATCGAATGGCTTTGCATCCTCGTATTCTGCTGTCTCGGTTTATTGGTAGTGTCTACGTATTTTTTTTCATAGAAGCATATACTAAGTTTCTCGCTCCTCCACTACTCACTCGCCAAGGTCCCTGAGCAAGTTGAGGATAAGTGGGCGGCCGCCTTAGAGAGAGTGGAGGAATCTGAGGATGGAGGGGGGCTCAGAATAGAGAAGTCCTTAAGGAAATGAGGAAACCGACAACTAGAACGAAATTGTGGTGGTCTTTAAGGAAAATCAAGAGCTGACGCAAGCGAAAACTCTAGAGAAGTATGTGCTGGAATGGATGCCCAGCTCCAGGCCAACATATCTTTGGCAGTCTTAACACTTTTGTAAATCACGGGTTGGTGGACCCTGAATGGGCTGACCCGAAGAAATTTGCCTCTCTCCACTCTGATCCCGAGGAGAATGTGGATGAAGGTGACAATGATGCGGCCAAGAAGTGATGCGAGGAAGAAAGCGATGGAGGAACTGCTGCCGCCTGGCTTCTGCGCTTCTTATACTTGTAAAAAGAATAGATTTTATTTTATTTTTTGCCCTAAAAAGATCCAAGGACTTGTAAGGAAATATTTCTATTTTTTTTTTTATAAAATGGAATGAATTTTTGGTCCGCTTATACCTTCCTCGATCGTTTACCACTTGGAATTTTTCTACCGCTTTAGTACCAACTGTTGGAAGTGATGAGCTCTAGAGAGCAAGTTGCGGGTGACGATACATCTAACAAATGATCCAGTCATGTTTCTTTTCTGCACTCAAAAGATATTGGTTATTTTTTTTGTATACAATGGCAAAATGATTGTATAGATTTTATAATTGAAGAGAAAGTTGTGGTGACTAATTGACTAAATGAAATAAAGTATGACACTTGGCCTATTTCTTTTTTCATTGCTTTGCTTTTACCTTTTCTGCACTTTACAATCTCCTGTTTATGATGTATAAAAGACGATCGATTGCTCATCCTTTAGAAGAGTCTTTTTAGTTAGTTTTTTTTTTTTATTTATGTCTCGCACAAATCAAGTCTCATTCTACCTCCATTTCATTTGCTCGGTCAAGCTATTGCCTTAAACATACTAACCATTGTGGTTTACTTTAGGGGTGATTTACTGAGTACCTTTCGAAGAGCTTGTTGCTATTGAGGAGTGAACCAACTCCAGAGCTTCACTCGACCCAAATTTAAGATAGATGTTTTGATGCTTGAGTGTTGGGAGTCAATTTTTATTTTTAAGTGTCGATCGAATGCCTTGCGTCACTGTTGGTCATTTTTATACTGATCTGACGGCTTGTGTTGTGGTTAGCTTTCTATATTAATGTCTGACTCGTGCCTTGAAGTCATTTATTCTCAATCGCTTGGTCAGATCTCCACCTCAGACACAATAACCCTTGTGTTAAGCTTACTTTTACAGAGTCTGTCACTACTGGATAGGAAATAACCTCTAGAGGTATATACAAACAAGTTCGGAGGCGGGTCTACAATGCATGAGAGTTGTAGGCTATTTTGATTTATGTTCTGTCAATCAGACGTCTAGACACCATTGTCAACTTTACTGCTCGGGGTCAAGTTCTCCTAGTGTTGGCTAAGCATTGGGGCTATCGACCAACTTTTCGAAAGAAAATAACTTTTTTTTATTTTAATTAATAGATATATAATTTTGATTTTGAAAATAACCTTTTAATTTTAAAAAATGAGACCGAGGAGATATCATATGTCTGATAGTTTAAATAGTTGAACACAATACCACAAGTAATACACCACCTTAAGAGATAAACATATCACATGTTAGTAGGTTCAGACATTTGAACTAAGAAATTTATGACGTATGTTTGGTCTACATAACCTTATATGTGACTGACAGTTCCCCTATCTAGTATGTAAAGATTAGGAAGGGTTAATTTTACCTAGGTCCTTAGTGCCCTGTAGAGGCAAGCCACTATAGTTAATTACATCTTAGGAAATTAAAATTACCTAAGAAAACTCTCGATTAAGATCATGGGTTTTGTCTTTAAGAATTCAAATTTTAGTGTCTACGATCGCAAATAGGAAATTTCAAGTGGGGAAAGAACCAAATAAGAATAATTATTCTATGAGTCAAAGGAGCAAAAAGTAGGGGATGTCATAGATCTTGAGGCAGGCCTCAATGACTTCCCAAACTATCTTATTATTTGGTTTTCTATTTTTAAAATGATAGTTATTCTATGAGTCAAAGGAGCAAAAAGTAGGGGTTGTCATAGATCTTGAGGCAGACCTCAATGACTTGCCAAAATATCTTATTATTTGGTTTTCTATTTTTAAAATGATATTATTTGATGTTTACTCCCACCATTAATTAGAATTATAGGACTTATATCTGCACGATATACGATCGTGCAAACGATCCAAGAGGACAGAAGAGTTTACACTGAAAAAAATGATCAACCTCGAAAACCTAAAAAGAGTTAAGACTTATATTGCATGATATATGAACATGTGAAAGCCTAAAAGATAGCATGAGGATTTACGTCATGTTAGATGAACAACTATGAATTCCTAGAGGCTTATGTTGTTTAAGATTACAAAAAATATAGTTGAAGTAGATTTGATGCATTGTTAAGTGTTGATCGTCATCTGAAGGCATCTTTCATTCTTTTGCATCCTTGTCCTACTTCCCAAGAAACTGGTTTTAAGATCCTTGCTTGCGATGGCTATGGGTTTTAGGTTTATTGTTGAGCTCATAATTATAATTGGGTCTCAAGGCTTGTTGTGATGTTCACCCTAAATAGATGTTCCACCGCTCTCTATCCTAGGGGCCTTTACTTGTATATTAAATTATGCATTAGTAAAACATGCTATAAAGCATGGTAAAGAAAAGAAAATGCAGTAAAAAGACAAAAATGACAGTATTTACCTGCCACCTCTGACGCTATTGCTGAAAGGTTAGCATTGTAAACATAACATTTAAATATTTAAATAAAATTTTAGGGAACATAAGAAAGTGAATTAAATTAAATAAACTCATATAGAAGATCTTGGCTGAGTGTAAGAATTTCAAGTTGTGGGGTGGACTAACACAAGCATGTGAATTAAATTAAATAAACTCATATAGAAGATCATGGCTGAGCGTAAGAATTTCAAGTTGTGGGGTGGACTCAGAATCATCATTCTCGAAGGACTTCGTAAGCAACTATCGACAATCTATGTGTATAAAGTTTGACATTGACTAAAGATTACCAACAAGACAATCAAAGGAGGGAAATCCTTAGCCCCAGTCCAAGTAAATGACATGTGGATATTTAGGATGTATCACCAAAAATATTATAGTTTTTCATGCATATAAGTAAGGCAGATCCTCACTTAGTTGCCAAAATTTTTGTTTCACAAGAAATGTATTTGTCTTGTCATCATATTTTATAAATTAGACTGTCTACAAGTAAATCACACCGTTGGGCAAAGGCCACCGACAACCTCAGAATGCAAGGGTTATCTCTTGTCAAATGTTGGTGAATAGTAGTGCCAATCCTGTACCCTCACAAGGTCTTCGGGTCAGGAGATACA